CACTTACTATTATCGTCAGTTAAATCGTCTGTGACTACCTATATTATAACCTGGAATTATGCTCTAACCTATACACTAAACATCTAGACGGGATGCTAATCGTATAATATTGTCGTTGTTTTATTATACTTACAGGTATTATTGTTATTTCGATTCATCGTGATACCAACACTTCTTGTAATATACCGATAACCAATAACGCGATATTTGCGATATTACATATTTATTAGGTATAATGTGTAGTAGGTACTAGGTAGGTACTTAAAAGTTATAATAATATACTATATAGTATATAGAATATTAGGGTATAATACAAAGATAGTTTTAGGCACATTTAGCACGACCATTAAATCCAACCCGGTGAATTCCTTGACCGAAGATTCGATCTAAGATGGCGCGGGGGCTAATAAAAGCATTTACAACGCCCCGAAAAAAAAATAAAAATTGTCAAATATATTTAACAGGTTATGTTGCATTTGTAGTTGTACAAAATTACAAAACCCTACGGGATACTCCAGACACCCAGCGGGTGTTGGTCAGTTGGTCACCGATTAAAACCCTTGGTGACATGTCTTTAAACATTTTCGACGCATGGTTATCCAGTTTTACCTTTGCATAGAGAAAATTGAAAAATGTAATTTGATATAGTTATGCATTGCATATTACCAACTGCACTTGATTTCTGTTGGTACTAGGTCGTAACAGTAAAATAATGTGTAACACGTAAACACGTCTACTAATATTGTTTATCTTATATTATAATAACTAATAAGTAATAAATTGTATGTAAAAATATTATATAAACTTGTATATTTTTTGTTATTATAAACAAACACAGTATAATATAATATCCAGACATATTTTATCACACAAACATAAATATCGTGACTGCACGAGGCCCCTTAAGCGCAAGATCCTGGGTGTATGTCCTGCTCAATCGGCCCTGCCCTTGATCTCGTCAATCCTTGTATTTTCAAATAAACTTACCAGTTACCAATGTTCAATTGTATATATACTGGAAAAACGCGTTTCCCTTTATTTGTAAAGGTGTTTTATTACGCTTGAAGTGCGGAGTTTATGGAGGGGAATAGTGGCCATGCCCCCTAGACATAATAAAATACCTATAAATAATAATTTTTTGATTGTCTTACAATTTGTGCTATCACTAGCGATCAGTGGTCAAACTGATTGATTGACGTCCTGTGATGTTGTTGATAATACAGTATAGGCCTAAGTGGGTAAATATTTAAAGGTAATATTTTTAGACCAAAAGGATTCCCCCTCTTCCTCCCCCTAGAAGACGTATCAAAACTGCTACTGGTGAAGGATGATAACTCCTTAAGCATATAAACGTGTAAGTCGCGTAAAATTACCCGTATAGATACCTGTGTTATTTTAGGTGCGACAAACGACCGACACCGATTCGTGCAAAGTATAATTTATTATACATTTTTTAGACAAATTTCATTAAAGTAGGTCATTAAAATAAAAACTTTTATTAATAGGATTGGTGACATTTAACAAACTAAAACCATTATTTATTAAAATAATCAATTACAAGTAAACTTTTCACCTACTTTAATGAACTCGTTGCATGTTACATTTTATAAATTAAATTAATGTTTGTTTGGATTCATTATAAATATTTTTTTAAAGCTTAGTCATTATACTAATTCTGTTTTAAAAATGTATAAGATGTAAAAATATCACGAAACAATAAATGGTTATTTGAAATATGATTTACCTACAAGATAAATGCTACTGCCATGCCATAATTTTGTATTAGACTCATATGTTTGAACAGTCCAGTGCATTGAACTTTTTTTCATTGTGATATGGAACAATGAAAAATATGCTATTCCAAAAATAATTCTATGATTTTCGAGCTCAATAGACTGGGAGTAAATAATGGTGTAATCGAGTGAAGATTGGATTGTAATCGTAATAATTGAACAAAACCTTTATTATCCGATAACTCCTCTGTACATTTTAATGTAGGTAGTATATAACTATACCTATACATAAATAGGTACCTATATAATCAACCTTCCTACACATACGACATACAGTTTTTTAGTTTCAACATTCCACCGCTAACGTTTTGTTTAGGTATCTATTTACTATTTAAAGTTGCGAAGCAGCGAAATTTAAATGAATAGAGGATAATTATTATAGTTGAGATGTAATACGAGTATACGACATATCGTTTAATCTCTATGTCGGTAAATAAGTGTTAGAACATCAAGAAACATGGTTTATATTCCATATTTGTAATTTGTTGATGTTATAATATAATATATATAATAAAAAAGGTGGGCAAGTTGGTGTCGCTCTGCTGTACAGTAGGTTACAAGTGGGTCACTGTATAATGGATGGTATTAAATTTGAATTCAATGATATAATATCATTGTATAAGAAAACGATTCTGAGCGGAGACGGTATGTCCTTCTAGGTATAAGACATATTATATACATATTTATGGTATTAAACAAAAAATTGACCTATAATAGGTACCTATAATAAATTCCAAATTAATCATATCACAATATCCATTAGATACTTATAACGCGTTATACATCAACAAAAACCGTGATACTATCATAGATATATAATAGTACACTTTAGAAGTTTCAAGTACCCACGAATAATATTATTCAATCACAACAAAATAACTAAAATAGTTATTCTAGGTTTTTTAATATGTCATTTCGTCCAAATTTGAATTTAAAATGTCTGTAAAAAATAAGTGTGTTCATATATTTTTTAGATTTTTTGGTTATAGTATGAACTATTTATGAGAACCTTTGTGTTGAATTTGTAATCCTTAGCTATAAAAACTGAACATTTTATAATTTATTAATTACAATGATTGATAATTTTCGAGATTTTGATAAATTTTGTCAAAATTCCAACTTTAAATGCTTATAAAAAAAAACTGTGCCTATGTATTTTTAATATTTTTCAACTGATATTGTAACAATATATCAGGAGCCTTGTATTAAATTTTTACACTTTTTGGCCCAACAGATACACCTTAATTGATATTTATAGAAAAAAAAACTAAAAAAAATTGAAAGCTGTAAATGTCCATAAACAGCTCAAAAAGAGTCAAAATATTTTCAAAATTGTATGGTGTATAGAAAATGCTAATTTAAACATTCAGTGAAATTTTCATGTATCTACAGTTGTTCGTTTTTGAATTGCAACAAAATAAGGAAATCGCTACATGAGTAATCGAGTGAAAATCCAATGTTGTAAAAATTTGAATTTCAAACGCTCATAAAAATTTAATTTGACTGTCCGGTAGAGATTTTTTTATTGATAAAGGTAGATAATCTTATAAGGAATCTTGTGTTTCATTTTCAAATCTTAGATTTAAATAGAAAAATTTTTACGAATTCTTAACTCAAAATAATTTGCTAATTTTCGTGATTTTTCCATATTTTGTCAATTTTTGAACTTTAAATGCTTATAAAAAAAAATTGTGACTAAGGATTTTTAATATTTTTCATCTGCCTTTTAAAAAACATATTAGGAACCTTCTATTAAATTTTCAAGCTTTCGCAACCAATAAATAAAATTTTATTGATATTTTTAGAAAAAAAACTAAAAAAAAATGGAAAATGAAAATGTCCCTAAACAGTTCAAAATAAATCAAAATATTTTGAAAATGTTATCGTGTATAGAAAATGCAAATATAAACAACCAGTAAAAATTTCATGTATATACGTTCATTTGTTTTAGAGTTACACCAATAACCAAAATCGATTTTTTGGAAAACCAATTTTGCGTAAAAATTCCTGTTTTTCCTTAATTTTTATGTTGTTTTTCCCGGCGCTTGTGAAAACTACTGGGAAATTTATACTTTTGACCCCCCAAAGTACCAACTAGATTCACTTTCCTACCAGAAAAGCTACTGATGAAGAAAATCCAAGCATTTTTACTGTCCTAAAACGTGATGACAGACACAAAAATATAAATAAAAATATAAATAAAAATATAAAAAAAAACATACATCATTGTAAAACCAATACATTCATCGCTCCGCTCAGAATCTAAAAATGATTTGATTCGAATACAATCGGTCGAATGTTATAATATTACAGAGTTATATTTTTTGTAAGATAGTTCTGTCATCCGATTGTTCCTACCTTAATTCATATTTTATAATACTAAATAAACAATAAAAACAAAACAAAATAGAGTAAAAAATATATTTATATAATATCTAACCTGTATTATGTTTTTATATTGTGTTCTTAATATTACCGCAGGTAATTACCATGTTTTCGTGTTATTATTTAATACCGACAGAGTTAATTTGTTTTCTAGTGCACAATAGACACGCATTTGGCGCACTTGTTTACGATGATCATTGTTTTACAATAAAGCCACGTGTATTCGTGTTTGAAATTTTAACAACAGGCGTACAATATTTTAATATTTTTTAATAAAATAAAAATCCCATCGTAGCTACTGCTTGAATTATTATTGAATGTATGATGTAACATTAAAGTTTTGGGGATCAAGAAAATATAATTTATTATAATGTTATAACTTATAACAATTAAACAGGTATTATTTTATAGTCTAATGGGGGCAACAGATATCATCAATCTTTTTTTTTGTTAGAAAAATATATAATAATATATATATATATATAATATACGAAGAAAATCAAATAGGTGGCATTTGCAAATATAACGAATATGTTAATAATATTAATATTGTATGAAGCAGTAATTATTATTCATTATTTTTTTTTATTATGTAGGTACCAAACTATACATTAACCCAAAACGCAATAAAATTGTGATAAATTAAATTCAGTTTGTTTAACCGCTAGTTTTAGGCTATACCTAATAATTAACAATGTTTGATTGATTAGATGACAAAGTTATAGCCTGTAGGAAACATTGATTGTTGTGTACTTATTATTATTTTTTATTTTGTTATTTTATTATAATTTTTAATATAATTTACTTAAATTTTTATTGCAGAAACATATTGTGGAAATAGAAGTATACTACGAAGCGTTATGCGGGGACAGCGTTAAGTTTGTCTCAAACCAGTTACTACCTACATTTAATAAGCTAAGCAAGTTCATAAATGTGGTATTTGTTCCTTTTGCTCAAGGAAATGTAAGTTAAAAAAAATCTGTAGCTAGTTTATTAATTTATGTTCTCCTTTAGAGTAACGTGGACCCCTATATTAATCTAATTGTTGTTTATATAATACAATATTATTGTTATTGTTTCCAGATCTCCACTAACACTGACAACTCTTTCAATTTAACATGTAGGCGTGACAAAGAGTGTGATGCTGATAAAGTACATGCTTGTGGTATTCATAAAATCAAAGACAGCGAACAGCTAATCAAGTTTGTGAATTGTTCTCTGACTGAAGCATTCAATAATTCAAATAAAACTGTTCCAATCGACGTGGTATAATATGCATTTGTATAATTAAATAATTGGTTTCTAATAATTCATAATTTTATTATTCATTATTTTAAGTAGTTTAAAATTGTATTTCATTTCTAAGAACATAGTTTTAAATTTCAATAGTTATTACCTACCTATTTTGAAATACATTGCTTTTTTAAAAAATGCAGTTAACACCGCTAAGTGTTAACCCATTACTCATTAGTACTAAATAATATTTATTTAATATCTGATATCTATATCAAAACCGTTCAGTAGTGTGTACATGTTTTTTTGAATCAATTTTTTTTAAGCAGTACTAAAAAAGTCATAGTTTAACAAAGTACCTAATATGTTCTGTGTTCTCTCTCATCAAAATATTTGTATATTGAAACAAATTAATGAAACCATTTTGTTTAACTGTATTACTTATTAGATATTAACTGAACTATTTAACAAAATGTTATAGTGTGGAAAAAACAGTAACATTGAAAGTGCTGTCATTACTGAAATTACTAATTGCACCAATAGTACAGAGTCTTATCCGTGGTTGCAAGAATATATGAATAAGTCTTCTGCTGCCCATGTGAAATTTGTACCCAAAGTTTTAATCAACAAGGTAAATTAAAATTTTTAAAAATTATATACAGTTATTACAATTTCTACTATTGTCTCTAATGTGGTTTATTTAATAAACAAGAATTCTACTGAAGACTTCTCAACAACAGTAACTTTCATGAATGCGGTATGTAAACAAATTCCTGTTGAATTGCAACCTGAAGATTGCAAGACTATTCCTAGTGGATCAGATACACTTGTCGTTGGAGTACTACCAATAATCATTGGTGCTTTCTATTTCATAAAAATGATCTAAGTCTTAATATATATAAGGATTACAATATTTTAAGTTTATATTTTAAATTAACTATTCATCTCATAATCTGTTAGTTCTGTAAGTACCTTTTTTTTATTACCTATTATTACTCATTTGCCTACCATATCTAGCGTGGCCACACCTTTATATAATTATGATTAAAAATGTTTGTGTGTATCCATTTGTCTTTAGACTTAAATAGTAGTACATTGTATGTGGTAGAACTATTAGAAACACGTCATGATTTGTAACGGACATTTAATTATATAAAACGACTTTAAACAAAAATATTATGTACTTTTTTTTTTTTTTTAATCTGATTTTCAAATGAAATGCTTTTCAGTAGTAGAAATATCTATGTAATATCCGTAATATTTGTAAACATAAGGTTCTAAAATTATTATTAGTTAAATTATTATTCATTTATTATATTTTTAATCATTAAATGTGAAATATTTATTTATTTTTTATTAAAGTGTACACACAAATTAATGAATACCAATTACATGCCATATAAATTAAAAAATGCAATTTCTTTTTATTGACCTCTTAAACAAGTGTAAATGGGCAAAGCTGTGCAAGTTAATGATTTTTTTTAACCCAGTTGAGTTAAGTTTTAATATGCACTAATACCAAAAATTAAAAAGTTAATTTAACTATAGGTTAACTCAGCTAAATTGAAAGTTAATACACACTTTCTATTAAGTAAAAAAAAAGTTAATTTGTTTGTTTGTACAAAGCTAGCGTAAGTTAATTTTTTTCCAACCCAAAACTAAATTATAGACTACCCCTTTAGTGTTTATACTTTATACAGTATTTCTATGTAAGTTAGATTCAAATGATTTAAATTTTTAACTTAAAACAATTCACTGTAAATATTTTTTGACATGGAAACAAAATAGACTGAAATAGTAAAATATAATAAAATTAAAAACAAAATAAATTAACTTAACTTACTAATAAAATGAAAAATAAATTCGTTAATTTCAAGTTAATTAAAAAAGAAACTTTTAGAGTAAGTTAAAAAGTTCAAATAAAATTAACTTTTTAACTTGTTAATGCATAGCCTTGTAAATATAGGTACTAACTAATCATCTTTAAATAATAAATATTGCAAATTAACAATTAAACTTAGAACAATTTATTGTAATTATGTTAATTTGAGTATATTGTTTATGTTATACATTATTTAAATCTATAGGTATTAGATTTTCTATTAAAATTTAATCAATAGCCAATATATCAATGACCAGTGCTGTAAAAAAATACTTTTTAAAAGTATTTAAGTAATTACTAAAATACTCTTAAAATACCACCCAAATACTATAAACAGTAATGTATTCGAATAATACTCAAATACTTTTCAGAAGTATTTGAAATAATCTTCAAATACAAAAAAAAAAATTATTTTTCCTTTTTAGTTCTGAAATAATTTATTAAAATTAAAAATTTGTTTATGTCATTTTAAAACATGATTCATTCAATAATAAAAGTTCTGATCTATCATATTAGTTGCACCACAACAATAAACTTTTCTCTCCAGAGATATATTTTAATTTAAAGCTATATTATGTATTTGGATATCTCTTACCGTTATTGATCGTCGTCAACGATTATCATTTAAAATATTTTTAAAACATTTAATCGACGAAAACCGATACCAAATTTTCTGTAAGGCATAACCATAACTGATAAATATATAATTTAATATTGTTATAATGTCAAAGCAAGATCACAACGGCATGTTATTTTTATTTAATAAGAATAATTAGAAGTTGAAACAAATTAAGGATTAAAAGAATAATAAAAAAAAAGTATTCAATAGTAAAAGAAAGTATTTGAATACTTTTACTCAAATACTTTACAACACTGTCAATGACCAATGTCTACCGAACATTCACAATATGTTAACATTTAAATTCATACTATTTGTATGATTGTTGTAACTTTTATTATAACTAAATGTGTCAGTATAGAGTTAAAACTTATAACTATATTAGTGTAAATACAATTACCAGTTTATATTTTGACATCAAAAATAATGAAAGAAAAATTACAAAAGATAAAAGCTACCGTGAAGAATACAATATAAAAATAATAGCTAAACACTAAAAAAAAATTGAATTGTCAATTAGGTTGTATTTAAATGAATCGAAGGCGTTTAAATTATATTTGATTGATTTATTAGATGCATAAAATATCTGCTAATTATTTTTTATTATTTTTATTTTATTATGTTTATTGTTTATATAACAAACTTCTAACTATTGCAATTTAAAAAAAAAACTTCAAAAACGGGAATTTATGCACAAAACTAATTTTCAACAAAATCGATTTTTTTTTTGTGACAAACGATTAACTAGATTTTTAAAATTTTTATAAAATTTTTACATTATTGTTTACACATCGCTTAATTTTATAAATATTTTGAGCAATTTATGGAAATTTGAAATTATTTTAGTTTAATTTCTATAAATGTCGATAAAAAATTTTTGCTGGGTCTAAAAACTTGAAACTGTAACCAAAAAATCTAAAAATATGCATTAAAAGAATTTTTTTTTTAGAGATTTGAAGATAAAATTTGTTCACAGAGTAAAATATTTAAACGAAGAATACCGATTTCAGGTATTTTGTTGTAATTTAAAAGTAGATTATCCATTATTTCTGGGAACTTGAAACTTAAAACGTACCTGTATTATTATATTTCATACATATACAATGACATCCTCGAATATTCAAATGCAATGTTTTCGGCATATGATTAAATTAAAATTAAACTATGACAATTGGGTACCTACAACTATATTTGGATGCGAATGTAGGTGATAACTGATAAATATTAAATTAAAAGTTTAAAATCATATAAATTGAGCGTGTTCAGCGCCGGTCCCCACGTTTGCTAGTGTCATTCTTCAGATACTTTGTGCCCCTCAATACCTCATAACTATACACCGATTGCTATTCACCTAGGTATGGCCTCCTTGGCCGAACATCGCCGTGTCGCAGGTGTTAAATTCCTTGCGGGTCTTTTAAACAATAATATAGATTCTCCAGTCCTTCCCTCTCAAATCTCCTTTAAAGTTCCATCCCGCTCAAAGGGTCAATTCTATGTCCCCCACGCCACAACCAACTATATGGCCTATAATGAGCCTTTAACACGCCTAATGTTGTTTGCTAATGCAGACCCTGCCTTCAACGATTTGCTAAATTATTAATGTATATATTTACAACATAAGTTACTGTAATCGGATAAATGTATTCTGTATTAATGGATAGTTGTATAGATTTCATTTTTTTCCCCCCCTCATTTGTAACGAATTCTGTTATCACAAATATGTAATGTTAATGTCAAAAAGGGCTAAGCCCGTATAATTAATACAATAAATAAAATAAAATCATTTACACGGTATTATAGCGGTTGTTTTTTAAGTAAAATTTTGTTGATGCATTATAGGTAGGTATGCAGAAAAGTTGAAGGTAAGACATGATTTGAATTATTCGTTTGTAACGAAACGATGTTTATAGTTTTATAATAATTTATACACCAAGTGACGATGTAGTGTTATAGACTAATATTGTACATAGTAACTAGTAAGTATACTCCTGATCTTATTTGGAATAGAGTGTAGGAACCTAAAATAATATATATCAGCACAGAGTGTAGGTATATAGTCTGTCTAGTGTCTATGCTTATAGTTAATGCTTGTAAGTGCGTTAATTATTAAGGTCCCACAATTTCATTTTTTATCAACATTGTGTGCATAATATTATCTAACATACTAATTTAAATAACCTATACGGCATAGCAGTGTTAAATAGTTAGTACACGAAGACTCCCGGGTTTTGACGCCTTGCGGCTACAACCGCGGACCTCACATTAGCGCTGTGCGCTAGTCGAGAGCCGCGGAGGTTCACGGTCGACGTACGGTGGCCCAGTCCGCCGACCGCGCGTCGTCTACGGACCACGAGCACCGGGACCGAGGTCCCGTACCAAGAAGACAGGCCGAGTGCCGCCTGAATTCGCCTGGTCTGGCTGTGCGCTATCCCCACACCGAGTGTTTCTGGTTACACTCAACCTCCGATGATACTACACCGGTATAGCGGCTAGACGCCCGAGAGGAACCGACAACGTACCGGTGACTCGCGCCCCCGGGACGTGGCGGCCGTTCATCAGAGGTTTTCGCCTGTCAGCGAGAACTTAGAATAAGCATCTATTGACTTAACCACAAAGTATTCGTAAGAATACAACCACCACGATTCCTACCGGCAACGGACGTCCAGGGGCGTGAACCATCACTGGACGCCCGCGGTGAGTGACGTCGTTACCGACGGGGCCCCACTCACTCCCGTGGTACTGAAGCGTCTTCAGTCAGACTTTCGCCCCCTCGAGAGCTACCAGTTCTAGTCCGACAAGACGGGCATTGGTCTGCCTTAACCGCGGACGAGCGTCCGCGAGGTGCGAATTTAATCTCGGCCACCACCCTTTCGAACCATCTTCAGCAAGGACCCGTGTCCTCGGGTCAGTCTGGCCAAACGCCCCGACCCGGATGCCTGCCGAGCCGAGGCGCCCAGCCCAAGCTGACGACAGCCCTACCTTTCAGTCAAAGGTGGGACAATTTGCGACGACCACCCTCGCCTACCGAATTAGGGACTCTAAGCAGACGAGCCATCAGCCGCGAGCCCGTAACACTCACCGCAGTGTCCCGGAGACATGCCCAAACCCGGCTTACGCTGAGACGCCCGGCTGCTGGACGGAGCGAACTCCGGCGCCCGTGCCCTCAACTCATATTAAGAGCACCACCGCCTGGGTCGGTTGCCCAGCCGGCGACCGTGAACCGGCCCAGAGGACATACTGTCCGGAACTACGGGTCATTTAATCGAAGCTGTCCGCGGCCGGTTATTAGTTATTCGCCGGCTACCCGACTCGGAAGCTACCGAGGGAACCGGGCTTCCCTCTATCCGCAACCCGAGGACGCGATCTATACCGTGCGTCCACGGTC